AGGAAGGCAGATAGGGAAGTGTGTGTTGGCCAAGAAGAGGCAAATGGGTGCTAATCTAGGTTCTGCCCTAGACACGCCCCACATCCTACCTAAGACATGCCATGCCCCCTTCAAGAAACATCTGGTTGGGAACATCCTTGAAACCTTCGTTGTGTGGTTAAGTCAGTTACTGCTACATCCTGATAAAGGAAGATATTGTTTGCCCAGAAGGAAAAAACCCCAAACTAGCACATATGCTGAGGCCTCTCAGATGACCTTTTGAGACTCACCCCAACACACACATACACTTGAAGTTTCATACATATGGACTGCATCTTATGGGTATAATAATAACAGAACACATTATGGGTAGGGATATGTATAGTCAGAAATAAGTTATATAATACCCTCCTGGTCAATCAAAGATGTAAATCATAAGAGGGACCCCTCTTTCAACCCCCTCTCTTCCCCAGATTTTCCTTACATTATAACACAGGCAGGAGACTAGGGGTCTTGAGTTTCTTTGCTCAGGTCCACTCCCGTCCTCCACGGGATATATTTCCACTTGCAATAAACCTACACTTTGCTTGTTACTTCTCTGCATTTTGTCCAGTTCTTTCTTCAATTCGCCAAGAACCTGGATCATTCCCAGTAGGAGGTGTCCAGACCCTCCCTGATGGTAACAATAGCATATGTACTTTGAAAGATTGTGTAGTCCCTCCATTAGATGAAGCAAATGTTTGCATATGAGGCATGTCATTCAATATTTTGAATGTTCTGTATCTGTGCCTATCTTTTTTCTGCTAGCTATATCAGTTTCAAAGAGAACAGTGTTAAAAATTTTCCCTTGTGGTGGTGAAATTTATTCTTGTAATTTGTCAAGTGTAGTTTTATTTTTAGTCTTATCTGTTAGTTACAGGTTCAGGATGATTATAGACTTCTGGTGATTCTCTTTGACTTTAATAATTTGTTTGTTTTAAGGTTTATTTTGCTTATATTAATGTTGTTTATAGTGATTAATTTTATGTGTCAACTTGGGTAAGATTAACATTTAAATTTGTGAACTTTGGCTAAAGCAGATTGCTCTCCTCCATAATGTAGCTACACCCAGTCCAATCAGTTGAAAGCCTGGATAGAGCTAAAAGATCAGTCTTCTAGAACAAGAGTATTCTTCATTGGACTGCCTCCAACTTCATCTACAATACTGGCTGTCATTGGTCTCCAGCCTTTGAACTAGACTGCACAATCAGATTTCCTGAGTCTCCAGTCTATTGGCTCACACCATAAACTTTGGTTTCATCAGCTTCCATAATTATGTGGGACAATTCCTTATAATAAGTCTCTTAAGAAACACACGAGCCTCCTGGCTACTTGGGAGGCAGAAATAAGAGTGTTGCTCTCTGGGGATGGTCCTGGAAAAAATGTGAGGACCTTATCTGAAAACAAAATAAAGCGAAAAGGGATGAGGGCATGGCTCAAGTGTCAAGTGGCATATGAGGTCACTACCTAACAAGCATGAGGTTCTGAGTTCAAGCCCCAGTACCACACACACACACAAAAAGAAAAACCAAAAGAAAAAAAGAAAAGAATCTCTCTCTCTGCTCTGGAGAAACTTGACAAATGCATTGTTATTCCTGTTTCTTTTTCTTTTTTTTTTTTGGTTAATATTTACCAGGTATATATTTTCTCCATTTCCTCCTAGAAACTGGGAAATGGTAGTCTCTTAGAAACAGTAAAGAGCTATTTTGTTTTACCTTTTCAAATGTCAAAAATAAACCAGACCAAGTTAGGAAAAATTAAAAAACTCATTGTCATACAAAAAGTATAGGTCATGATCCAGGAGACTTTGAGCTGGTGGCAGAAAGCTTGCCCTTCTGCAATTACAGCAGTTTATAAAGCACTAAAGGGGGAAGTACTTGGCTTTTTTTTTTTTTTTAGGCCAAACAGCTATTTAAGATGATTTGTCCATATCTGATTGGTTTAATTTCACTAATCCATGCTAATAAAAACATAAAGCCTAAGTTTTGTGGTTATGATTAGAGACAGTATTTTGGGGAAATTAGGATAAATGAAGTTTTGGTTTCATTGTTACAGAGTTGGCTTTGGGTATATCTAAACTGTGCACTACATTTTTATTTTCCTTTCACACACACAATCCAGGACTTTTGTATTTTAACTTTCCTTTCACACACACAATCCAGGACTTTTGTATTTTAACCATTGAGTTTACTCAGTGTATTATTTGGACTAACTTGTTTTGGGCTTTGTTTTTATAATTATTTTTCGTTGCTTTTTTCCCCTTTATTTCTGCCTTTGTTGAACTAATTGCTTTTGTCTTTCTTCTTTAAATGGAGAAATTTAAGCTTGGGGTACCTCTATTAAAAAAAAGAAAAGTTAAAACCATCCGGGCCACTGAAGAACATGGAGTTTTAAAAATATTTATTTGTTTTATCAAAGTTATACATAAGATTTCTCTAATAAAGCAAATAGTTTTAGCTAAACTTCTGGCATCTGCTACATTAGGGTAAATCCATCTTCAATAAATGATGGAAAATTGTAACCATTTTGAACTGATATGAGGATTCCCACAGTGCATGATCTCAAAACCAGATTTTTATAAGTGAAAAAAATATACTTTTGATAATGGAACTTATGATAGAAAATGTCCTTTCAAAGATTTCCTTCTTTGATTTTTAATAATGTATGAGGAGTTTTTGGCTTTTTTTGGTGTCCTACTGGTCAATTTCCTTCTTGGTATCATTAGTTGCTTTGACCCATTTGGTAGCCACTAGCCACATGTGGCTATTTAATTTAAAGTAATTAACTTTTTTTGGTGGTACTGGGGTTTGAATTCACTTGCTAGGCAGGTGCCCTACCTCATGAGACATACTGCCAGCCCTTGTAATCTGGTTATTTTGGAGAGAGTCTCGCTCTTTGCCCAGGCTGGCCTGAAACACAATCTTATTTTATTATGCCTGCCATCACCATCCCACCACTATGCCCAGCTTTTTTCCATTCAGGTGGAGATCTTGCAAACTTTTTTGCCTGGGCTGTCTTGGAACTGGGATCCTCCTAACCTCTGCCTCCCAAGTAGCTAAGATTATAAGTGTGAGCCTCTGGCACATGGCTTAAATTAATTAATTAAATTAATTGTATTTAAATAAAAATTTTAATTCAGTTGCACCAGGTACATTTCAAGCACCCAGTGGCCACTTTAGGGTAGTGGCTATCATTTTGGGCACTGCAGATTATATCATTTCTATCACTGTAGAGATTTTTATTGGACGAAAGGTGATAATCCTGTAGTAATACTGCACCTTCATATACCTCAAAGCAGAGGTATTTGGAAGACTACCTAATAGTGCAAAATTTGGAATTAATAATCTACAGCAGATTCTGTAATGTTCTTCTAGTGTCTCTTGGTCCTGTAGTGAACGGTGATCAGCTTGGGGAGCAGCAGTTGCCTCAGTGGAGTCTACTGGGGGTTCCTGCACCTGCCCACAAACTCTGGGCTGGTGTCCATGGGACACTGGAGGTGATTTATATGGAGCAACAGACTGAGGAGCAATCACCACTTTGTTGGTGATAACAAGGGCTAAAGCAATTATTTCTGTATAGCAATGGGAATTATGACTTTTGTTTTTTTTGTTGAGACAGGATCTTGTTATTTTGCCAGGGCTGGCCTCAAATTCCAGGGTAAACTATTCCTCCTGTCTCAGCAACTGTGCCTGGTATTGAAACAAGCCTTATTTTATTTTATTTTTTTGTAGTGGTGAGGATTGAAATCAGGGCCTCATGGTAGGGAAGTGCCCTACCTCTGAACTAGGTTACAGCCTGGAATCTTGACTTTTTGAATGATTCAAGGAGCACAAGCAAGGCTGGAGTATTTTCAATTGAAGCCAGGTTACAAAGGTTGGGCATAGCCCAGATTGGCCCATAGCATTTGTCATTCCTTTGAAGCTATGACTTCTCCCACCTTCTTGCCAGACTGGTTTAGGTCTCATCTGAACCAACTGGTTAAGTGAAGATGATGAAGGTCTGCCCTCAGCCTGTAGCACTACTGCCACAAGTGGCTGCCAGTTGCAGGTTGAGACTGATTTAGGAAGGCATTGACAGGGACATGCATGCCATCTACATATCCTGGATGGGCAGGTGAGGTTCTCTTGCTTACACAAGTGCCAATTTGTTGCAGGACAGCTTTGGCTCCTTGAGGGAGAGATTGAGAAAGTTAAGCCCTTTGCTTCTCTCTTACTCCAGCATTATCTTGGCATTTATGATGAATCTAAGAACAAAGAAATTTCTTCTTTTTTATTGTCAGTGGTGTTAAACCAGGTGTCAGCCACCTCTGGATTAGATTAATTCTTTTACATGTCAGCTGCTCAAATTTCTCTCTTTTTGTTTTGAGACAGGGTCTTGCCACGTAACCCACACTGCATCAACTCAGATCTTCCTACCTTAGCCTCCTGAGTGCTAAGATTATAGACATTCACTGCCATGCTCAGCTTGGATATTTGTTTTAAACTGGCCTATGTTGAACTTCTGTTCAGAGCTGGTTAGTATGACTTTTCCGCACTGACTTCCTTTCTGTTAATTTCTTCCACACTTCATTGCTATCCAAGTTTTTCTTTGGAACTCACAAAAATCGGTCTTTGTATTTTTTCCCTGGGACCTGCCATCCCATTGAGGCAGCATTGTACCAAAAAACCAAAAAATTCCTTTCAAGCTGGCATTCAGATCTTTTCCCAAAGTTTCGACCTGGTGTCAGACGATGTGGGGATGCATAAATACACAAGATAGAGTGGCGTCCCTGCCTCAGGGGAGTCCCTCAGCAGCAGAAACAGCTGTTATTTACAATATGCTTCCGCATTTGATTTTTTACTCTTCAAATTTAAATACAATATTTAAACAATTAATTTATCTGGAAAACAAAAGTATCAATTCTAGGATGGTGGTGACGGATTGATTTATGAACAATTGTGCAAATCCCCAATCTGCTTAGTTGAGGGGGTTACAATGGAAGGAAACTGCTTCCGTTCAACTTTGGAGGGAGGGAGGAGGGGGAGTGAGGCCGCCCAGAAAGTCGGTTTATGGACTTCACAGGCCATACCAGAACCCCAGCCCAGTTTCTTCCAGCACGCAGCCCAGTCCGGGCGTCCGGGAGGCGAGGCTCAGGCCGGGCGCACCCAGCGTGGCCCCGCCCCGGAACTACAATTCCCAGAATTCCGTGCGAACGCAGAAGGGAAGCGGCAGCGGTGTCAGGAAAAGCGCGAGCGAGCGGAGGTAGCCGCGGGTGCTCTTCTGTCGGTGGTTTGCTTCGCACCTGTCGGGAGCCCGGAGCAGCCGTCTCAGCCCCCGTGGTGTGGCTGGCACGAGTCCGCTCCTCCGTCCTGTGGACGGGTCTGGGGCGGGATGTAGGGTGCTGGGCGCGGAGGCCGCGGGCACGGCGGGGCTGTCTCGGAGGCCGCGCCGAGGATGGAGAGAGCGATGGAGCAGCTTAACCGCCTGACGCGCTCGCTGCGCCGCGCGCGCACCGTGGAGTTGCCCGAGGGTGAGCGGGCCGCGGGGTAGGGGGCCGCGGGAAAAACTAACCAACACTGAGAAGACGCCCACTTTTACGCCGGGGCAGGTGGCAATTGCGCGGGCGGCCGTCGGGAGGACTGGGCAGAGGTCCCTTTCGATTGCCCAGTGGAGGTTTTGGCACCGGGGCAGAAACCGCAAACGCTACAGTTGCGAGCCATCTTCCGGTCGCTGAGACACATTCCAGAGATAGCTGGAGTTCCAGCTGCAGAGTGCGGCTTAGCGGGTTTAGGGTCTTTTAAAATGTAGGGTTTCGCTGTGCCTTGACAGCGGACGGGCAAACAAAAGGTGCCCTACATAGAAGGTGCTCTAAGTGTGTGTGCGTGGAACACCTCCCTCCGCTCATTTATGCATTAGTCAGACTCGTGCTGCTGGGCCAGGGGGCACTGTCCCAATAAGTAGGGGACTCTTAGTTCAGGGTGCCAGGTTCCTTCTAGGCAGGTAAAACTCCAGTAATAAACCAGAGGAAGAAAAAAACCCGACTTGTTTCCAGCTTCGTGAATTCTGACGTTTTAGTAGTGATGGGAGGCAGATGGCAGGACGCTTGTGGCTTTTGGTTCCTAAGTGAGGGCAGGGTTGTTGTGAGGGAGTGGCTGGTGAGTTGTTTTTTCATTGTAGTAGTTCTCTTATTGCATTTTTTCCCAAAACTTTACTTGAATTGGTCCGAGGAGTTTTATAGTTTATGGAAGAAGGCCTGGGGGAGATTCAAGAAAGAAAATGTAGGATTAGGGATTTGGGGATAATTTTCTTGAAAAAAATTTCCCTTGGCTATTTAGAACTCAGGGAAGATTTTACTCAGAGTAGGGACTATCAAAAATAATTTTGTATTTGGTACTTTGCTAGAATGAAGCAATTGACTTACAACAATCCTGATTTTAGTTACTACCCTTCAGCTTCAACTTTTTCTCTCTGTATTTTCTTTAACGGCTACTTTAAAATCTATTCCCTGAGTACTTGTCTCGATTATTTTCCATCGTCAAATCGTTGGTATCAGCTGATGAAGGTGGTGTGTCTAATTTCATTGACTTCACAATTTGTGTGCTACCTAATATTCTTCTTCTTCTTCTTCTTTTTTTTTTTTAACATGAGTTAGAAGGCTTAGGTAATGTTCCTTGGTTTAAAAAGTAATATATTTTCATTGTAGAAAATTTGGAAAATAAATAATGAAATAAGAAATCTGTCATTCTGCCACTCAGTAATACACAATTAGCATTTTCTTCCATTGTTAATTATTTTTCCACCAAAATAAAATCATACTGCATATAGTCTTATTTTACATGTAGAAAACATTACAAACTTTTTATATCCCTAAATAAGGGATTTATTTAGGGATAAATTTATTACTGCATGCTCAATGACTTTGGAGGATTTCATAGGATGCATATAACAAATTTAAATCTGTTTTATTTTTACAACTCATTTTATGAGGAACAGCTTTGTACTTAAGTCTTAGGCTCCCTCTTTGTCTCAGTTTCCTTAGGGTTAGTTTATGGAAGAAGAATAATAGGATCTAATTATATATTACCATTTTTAAGGCTGTGGGTATCAGTTTTTCAGCTTACTCCCTGGAAAGTTCCACCAGCAGTCTGAGTGCTTGGAAACTAGAGTATTACAATTAAAAATAAAACTTGAAGGCATATTATTTACATTTTTCTTGTTGAATGAATTTGTTCATTTTACTTCTTGAATTTATCTTTGTCCCTAAATTCTGATGAATCTTTTTGAATTCTCTGTTTGACTCTTTAAAGTAGGTCATGTTTAGTACATTCTAAAATTCCATATTGTGCTTGTATTTTAATGCTGAACAGAAGCTCTTAAGATCTCTAAATTTATGAAATAATCAAAATTTTTTGCCTTGTAATTTCAGTAATCAATAAGCATCTGATTATAATTAAAGTCATAAAAGTTCTTAACCAGCTTTTACAATTAAAATCACATAGCTTGAAATTGTAGATACTTGATTTCCTGATTTGGATACTTGTAGACACCTTTATGTTTCCTTGAGATGGTGAAAACTTGTGTATGACCACTAAGCTATGCAGTGCAGGTTGTGGAGTCATCCCAGGTAGGACTACCATAGGAATAGTCTTGTGGGAGAGAAAAAGGTGAAGGCAAAGAAATTAATTTAGGGATAAGAATTCTCAGTGGACTTAAAAAGGCTGTTGTATAATGTTAACAAATGTGGAGGAAATAGCTTAAACTATCACATTTACATTGAAGGTAGTTTAATAAAATAGAATTTTAGACTATTTAAGCATGCATACTTGAGTGATGATTAGGTTAATTACCAGCTTAAAAAAAAAATCACTGCCAGACTGGTGCTGTGGCTTAATGGCTCTAATGCCAGCTACTTTGGAAAGTTATCATTGGGAGGATCAGGGATCAAGGCCAGCCAAAGCAAAAACTTAGTGAGATCCCCATCTCAACAAACAAGCTTGGTGTGGTGGTACATGCCTGTGATCCCAGCTATGCAGGAAGCATAGGTAGGAGGATCCCAGCCCTACATAGAACTGGGCAGAAAGCGAGACCTTATCTGAAAAATTACCTGAAGCAGAAAGGGCTAGAGGCATGACTTAAGAGATAGAGCAATTGCATAGCAAGCATGCGACCCTGACCTCAAACTCCTTTACTGTCAAAATAATAAAATAAATCACTCCCTCTGATGGTTTTGAGGAGAAATTATACATAATATGATGAGCTCCTTGTTCTTTAAGGTTTCCTTTTAGTACTTGAACTCTGAAACTATTAATAAAAATGGCCAGTGTATCTGAGAAAGCAAGAGATTAAATTGACCAGTTTGAAAATTATATATCTCCTTTTCAAGGTATCTTCATGAGTGTGGAGAAGGCAGTAGATTCTATCTGGCAGTAGATTTCATTCTATTCTTTCTGAGTGTAGTATTTCTTAGATAGTTTCCTTATAGCACCATAGATGTGGTTATATTTACTTATTCTTACTTTTAGTGTATGTGACCTATATTTTTTATAAGGTAATGTAACTTAAAAACTAAGATTCCACTTCTAAATTTTATCTGAATAAAAATCTTAATAAAACCAGCAGAAACTTTATGATTCTAATGCTTACTTAAAATTATATGCTGTCTTTAAATAAGTTTAAATGTGTAAATCAGGGCATTGCCTGCTTATGACTTTGTTTATTATGGAGTACCTTAATTGAAATTGTCATGGTTTAGAAAGTTGGATTTTTTTACTGGGGTGTTGCATTGTTTATTTTGGAGTGACTTAATTGAAATTGTTATGGTTTAGAAACTCAGATTTTTTTTTCTTTTATTATTCATATGTGCATACAAGGCTTGGTTCATTTCTCCCCCCTGCCCCCACCCCCTCCCTTACCACCCACTCCACCCCCTCCCGCTCCCCCCCCCAATACCCAGCAGAAACTATTTTCCCCTTATCTCTAATTTTGTTGTAGAGACAGTATAAGCATTAATAGGAAGGAACAAGGGGTTTTGCTGGTTGAGATAAGGATAGCTATACAGGGCATTGACTCACATTGATTTCCTGTGCATGGGTGTTACCTTCTAGGTTAATTCTTTTTGATCTAACCTTTTCTCTAGTACCTGTTCCCCTTTTCCTATTGGCCTCAGTTGCTTTTAAGGTATCTGCTTTAGTTTCTCTGCATTAAGGGCAACAAATGCTAGCTAGTTTTTTAGGTGTCTTACCTATCCTCACCCCTCCCTTATGTGCTCTCGCGTTTATCATGTGCTCATAGTCCAATCCCCTTGTTGTGTTTGCCCTTGATCTAATGTCCACATATGAGGGAGAACATACGATTTTTGGTCTTTTGGGCCAGGCTAACCTCACTCAGAATGATGTTCTCCAGTTCCATCCATTTACCAGCGAATGATAACATTTCGTTCTTCTTCATGGCTGCATAGAATTCCATTGTGTATAGATACCACATTTTCTTAATCCATTCGTCTGTGGGGCATCTTGGCTGTTTCCATAACTTGGCTATTGTGAATAGTGCCGCAATAAACATGGATGTGCAGGTGCCTCTGGAGTAACAGTCTTTTGGGTATATCCCCAAGAGTGGTATTGCTGGATCAAATGGTAGATCGATGTCCAGCTTTTTAAGTAGCCTCCAAATTTTTTTCCAGAGTGGTTGTACTAGTTTACATTCCCACCAACAGTGTAAGAGGGTTCCTTTTTCCCCGCATCCTCGCCAACACCTGTTGTTGGTGGTGTTGCTGATGATGGCTATTCTAACAGGGGTGAGGTGGAATCTTAGTGTGGTTTTAATTTGCATTTCCTTTATTGCTAGAGATGGTGAGCATTTTTTCATGTGTTTTCTGGCCATTTGAATTTCTTCTTTTGAGAAAGTTCTGTTTAGTTCACATGCCCATTTCTTTATTGGTTCATTAGTTTTGGGAGAATTTAGTTTTTTAAGTTCCCTGTATATTCTGGTTATCAGTCCTTTGTCTGATGTATAATTGGCAAATATTTTCTCCCACTCTGAAACTCAGATTTTTTTATTGGGGTGTGTATTATATAAGAGAAAGAATGTTGTAATGTCAACTTCTGATGGTGACTCATCGGTAGTTATTGACAAGAATTTACTGGGCTGCAAACAGCATTTTAAAGAAAGACTTTAAAGAGGATAAAATTGAGTGTATTATATACTGGGCACGGTGGTACATGCCTGTAATTCCAACACTCATGAGGCAGAGAATCACAAGTTTGAGGGCAGCCTGGGTTACTCATCACCCTGTCTCCAAAGAAGAATGGCTTTGTACCATGGACCTTTTGGTTATAGTATGCATTGTATACTGGATGTGTACTACATGATATATTATTATGGGGGCTCTGGACATAGCCACTTGATGCCATCATTACAGAGCTTGCTACTTAGTACTTCAGTTTCTTCATTTGTAAAATTGGAGTAGTAGTACCTGCTTCATAAAGTGATCATGCTATAAAAGAGGTGATATATAAAGTGTTCAAAACAGTGCCTTTTTGAATCAATATCACAAAAATAAAAATGTTTTTAAGATAGTGTTTTAAAAAATATTTTTGTTATTAAAATGATTTATTAATTTATTTTTATAGTTACAATTATTGCATCTACATACTGAACTTGTGAATGTTGGCTAAGATTAAATTACTTTTCATGTATATATTCACAGGTAGTAAAATAATGAGCAAAAATGTGAAGAAATGTTAATAACTTCTGTTTGTCCTATAAATAACTCAGTATGTATTTCTACATTTTTAAGGACAATCAAAATACCATTATTAGGATCAATACAATTAGCAGTAATTTTTTATTCTCAAATACTCTGTACAGGTTTAGTTTTTCCTCTTCTCAAAAATGTTCTAGTGCTGGGGATTGAACCCAGGACCCCAGGGCTTCTCACATGACAGACAAGTATCCTACTACTGAGCTACACCCCAGCCTAAAGTTGGTTTGTTTGAGTCAGTATTCCAGGTTGATTCATCTCTTAAGACTTCTAATTTATAACAGTATCTCCTTAAAATTTTTTTTTAAAATTTACAGAAAAATAGTATAAATAGGATGGAGTTTACATACCCCCTTCACCTAGCTTTCCCTGCCATTAACATTTTGTACAACTATAGTTCAGTTATCAAAGCTAAGAAACTAATATTGGCATAATGTTACTAACTATACTGTAGACTTTGCTAGAATTTCATAGATTTTCCCACTCATGTCCTTTTTCTATTTTAGGATCCAATCCAGTATGCCACATTGCATTTAGTTGGTATGTTTTTTAGTCTCCTCCCCATCTGTCCTTTTTATCTAAAGGTCTGGAGACTTTTAAAGGGGAGTGGTCACATGTTTTTTGGAATTCCCTTAATTTCAGTTTGTCAGATGTTTTCTCATGATTAAGTGAACGTATACATTTTTTGGCAAAAGTACTACAAAAGCAGTATAACATTCTTGGTAGGTCATATCAGGAACATATGTTATATTTATATGAATTATTTCTAGTAATGTTATCCTTTATCAGTTGGTTTAGGTGATGTCTGTTGGGTTCTTTACTGTAAATTTACTATTTTCCCATTGTAGTTTATATTTTTGGTAGATATTTTGATATTATAGAAATATCTTGTTTCTCCTCAAACTTTAACCTGTTAACTTTAGCATTAGTTTTTTAAAAGTGCTAACTCGGGGTTGTCAAGGTTACTTCTCTGCAAATTATTAAAAAGCATAAACTTCCAAAATATGAGAAATGACCATTAGTGATACATAAAAGCTCAAGTCAGCGCTGAGGCTCACCCTTTTAATTGTAGCTACTTAGCAAGGGAAGGCTGAGATTGAAAGGATAACGGTTTAAGGCCAGCCTGGAATTTCAGACTCCATCTCAACCAATAAAAAGCTGGGTGAAGTGGTGTCCCTGTTGTCCCCACTACATAGGAAGCGTGAATGGGATGGTTTTCCAGGCTACTCTGGGCATAAAAGTGAGACCCTATTTGAAAAATACTGAAAGCAAAAAGAGCTGGAGGCGTGACCCAAGTGTGGTAGAGACCCCGTCTAGCAAGCCCAAGGCCTTGCAATGAAATCCCAGTACTACCCCCACCAATGCAAAATACTGGCTGAAATGTATGTAAGTATAATGTAGCATTACAGATGTTGATTTTCAATGTTTGGGATAATGTTTTTGTGAATTTATAAAAGATATGAATACAGATCTTCTAAGTAGCAAAGGTATAAGTAAAATTAAAATTTTAATTTCATAAATGCTTATGCAATAATTTCTTTGGTATAATACTGACAAGAAGCAAGTATCATGTATATTTAAGGTTTTAAGTTTACCTTGGCATATATATATCTTTAATTATTACAATACTTAAAATTTCCCCAAATTACACTTGAGTATGATAAAATATGTTGTCTAAAAAAATTCCTCTTTGGAAATTACAGAAAACATCAGAGCTCCCATTTTTCTCCTTACATCCAGAAGCTAAGCTCTTTTGTGATGATGGAGAAGGGATAAGCAGTAGAGGGGTTGAGAAATTCTGCGGTGTCATAAATTTTGCAGTATTTCTGGTATTCTGTACTATTCTTTCCTCTCCCTCTCCTCACTTTTTATGTAGAGTTAAGAAAACTCTTAAATGTTAAGTATCATCCTTTAGAAAAAATAGAAAATGAATTACAGTAGACCTTTGGTATGTGAGAGTATGTGTTTCAGGGAGAACCGCCAGTGCTGAGGATGTGGATGGTTTAAACATAACTGAACATACCGTGGGATTGACTGAGCTGCTGGTAATTCGAGTATGGGGATTATTTTTTTGACTTTGGTCAGAACTGCTTGTAATAAATCTGCAAGTAAGGTGGGCTTAATATAATTCTTTTTCTGCTTTTATTTTTTTTTTAAACTCAGATAATGAAACTGCTGTTTACACATTAATGCCAATGGTTATGGCTGATCAACACAGGTGAGTGCCTTTTTTATAAATTTATGTTTTTGGGAAATATAAAAAGTTCTAAATGTTATATACACACAAACAGAGACACATACACACTTAGATGCTGTCCTGGTCAAGTTGTTTCTGTTGTGAAATAAGGAACAAGATTTTCCAAAAGCCATACCTAAGCTGTAAAATTTTATGGTAAGTGATTTTCTAAATGAATATTCAGATTTTAAACCAATTATTTGGTTGGTTACTTACATAGAAAAAAACATTGTTATGGTTTCTTTAAGAGGTCACTACTGATATCGTAGCAAAATATTAGAGCCGAGGGACAACTTATTTCCCTTATATACTTCTACCTTGATGTTCTTTTGAGTGATATAATGTTGATACTCTTTTATAGGGGCATGTATAAGATACAGTTGTCTGGCTATGTGAAGGAGTAAACAGCAGTCAGCTCTGATGTGATCAGTCATTGGGTAGTTTGGTATAAAGAGAAAAAAATGAAGAGAAACTTTTACCAAATAAGTTTGAAATGTTATTTTTTGCTTTAAATTTCCTGTGTAGTATAAGTTAAAAAATTTTTTTTCTAACTTAATTTGACCAACATTAATATGGGTAGGCTCAACTTTTGGTAAGGGAGGCAGCCAGGCATACTCCCTTTGTTATTTAAGAATCTGGGGAGAGCTGAAACCAGTACAGTCTGTTAGGTTTCCTCAGAACAGGTAACAGCAATGTTCGAGTAGCAGATCAGGAAACCTTCTGCTCAGGTTCGTTGATCAAGGTAGTGGGTTTTCTTTTTTTGAGACAGGGTCTCACTATGCAGTCCAGGCTGTCTTTGAACTTGATTTTTCTATGTCATTTTCTCCCATGTTGGGATTACAGATGTGTGTCACTATTACTGGCTGTTGGTTTTTGGTTGATATTTTGCTGGCTACCATGCTACTCTTAGAGAATAGTACCTTACTTGATAAGGGACAGGACCTTTGAATAATTAATACGTGCTATTAACTTGATTTATCATGTTTTTAAAAAAAATCTGTTTACATATTGATTCTTTTAATCTTTTTTGGGGGGAACATAGGTCTGTGTCTGAACTACTATCAAATTCAAAATTTGATGTCAATTATGCATTTGGACGTGTGAAAAGAAGCTTGCTTCACATTGCAGCAAAGTAAGACACTAAAGATGCTTTGGGCTAAATCTGGTATAGAGTAAGGCTCATAAGCTTTGAATCAGCATTGTTTCACGGTAGTTGGGAGAGATGAGAACAGATATTTAAGTAGTTCTTTATCCTGTTTAGGGCATAGCACGCTATGTGTTCTCTCTGTGGATAAATTATAACTTTGAGATTGAACTCAGTTCTCACGTTCCTTTTGTCTTTGCTTGTTCTAGGTTAGATGTCATTGTTTTTCCTAGATGTATGTATTGTGTACATTTACCAATTTTTCCTTTTATTCTACCAATATATGGTATAAAAGAGAGATGATAACTGCATGCAAAGTCATTGATTTTGTATTTTTTTACCTACATGGGAGTATGTTTTTTTTTTTATTCACAGTCTTCCACTGTGTAATTAATCAGTTAACTAATTGATGTTTGTCATCTTTTCAGGATTTATGTAGGTGTGTTGAAATTAATTGTTCATAATTAACTTGGTTCCTGGAAAGCCAAAACGTTGAGAGTACTATATAATTTCTTTCATAAGTGAATATTACGTATTATTTGAAACTGTCAAATACTTTATAGCTGTCATAGTAGAGGGACTGTACCTTGAAAATCGAGGATATTTACTGTTTTGTGACAGAAGTTAAATTGTAGATGATTATAGACTTTAATAATGTGTTTAATAATTTTTTGTTTTTAATTAGCTTAAGCTATATCAGTATGGCTTTTTGTTGAATATATTTGAATTGTCTTTTAATATTGTTTTAGTTGTGGATCGGTAGAATGCTTGGTTCTGCTGTTAAAGAAAGGAGCAAATCCTAACTATCAAGATATTTCCGGCTGTACGCCTCTTCATTTGGCAGCTAGAAATGGGTAAATTTTAGTTTCCTTAAGTAGCTGTTGCATTGTCAGTTGTAGTCTTTAACAGTATTCAAGGCAGTCCATCCTGATTTGATTCCCCCCATCCAATATTTGCCTTGGGAAAAATTTAAAAAATGTGCATGTCTCCTATAGATATTTTTTTTTCTCTTTAAAGTAGGTCTTGGATCATTGTATTAAATTTTTAAATAGCAATCATATTTAATAATTTATTGAATCGTATATTTTATGTTACTTTTTTTTCTCAAAATATATTTGTGAAGTTTACTGTTATTTGTATTATAATGATATTTTATTTTCTGAAAAGCATAATTTTCACTTTATTTTTTGGGGGGTGGGGATGTCTTTTTTTCCTACTAGTTTTTTGGCACTCCTAACTTCATAACTTATTTCCAAAACGGCTTTTTTATACCCAGTTTATAGTTGTTTTAGAGTGACCTGTATTAGAATAAGCTTTTTAGTTAAGGGTCGCTTTAAGTGCTACAGCTATTTTTCATTTTGAATGTGAAAAAAATTTTCTAAATAAATGATGTGCTTAATTAACATCTTAAAAAAGTAGTAGTTTTTTTTGGCAGTGAGCTATGACTCAGGGCCTCCCCAGGCAGGTAGTTTTACCACTTGAGCCACTCTGCCAACTCTTTTTTTGTGTGCAATGGGTTTTTTTTTTTCAAGATAGGGTCTTGAGAACTATTTATCCTTACTGGCTTCGAACCTCCATCCTCTTGCTCTCTGCCTCCTGAGTAACCCTGTGATTACAGGCCTGAGCCACTGGCACCCAGCAAAGTAGTTTTTTCAAAACGTAAAAAAGAAAAAAAACCTTAAAGATGGCATATTGGATATATTTTTGCCTCTTTCTGATACTGCTGGCATAATTATGAATATGTTATTGTGTGCTGTTATAAGCTCTACCATAATTTTTTTTGTCTCCTTTTTTCTCATGCACTTCAGGTGTCATGTATCTGTGTCTGCCTCTACTGGTTTTTTTGTTTGTTTTTTTAATTCTGTTATATCAAGAAATGATAAGAAAATGATGGGAATTAAAATTTATGAAAATAGTTTTTAATGTAGGCCTTGAGCAACTAGATTTGTAAATCTTTTTTTTCTGAACAGTGTAAAAATTGTCCATGGAAGTACATTCCTATTATGTTTTGACTAATCTTGAAGATACTTTTGTTTTCTATTCTGAGCTAGGATTCTGGATAGTCTTTAGGTGGCTGCCTAAATGACATGACTATGGAGCTAAAATTATCCATTGCATTAATCTTAGGTCAAATTTTTGTGTTTAAGAATGGAAATTGATCCAAAAGGATAAGAACCATAGTTTTTTCTAGGTTGGGCAGAGGAAGGGAATAGTCTTTGCTTCCTATTTGGTGAGCTCCATTTCATGAGTTAGCATGCAAACCACTTTAATTGTCCACTGTTTTAATAGGTAACACTGTGCTAATTAAACAGTTGTTTTTATAACAATTAGCATATTAGGTAAGTTGGTAGTGTGTAACACCCAAGGTCATAGAGTAAATTCTCTTGCTGAATTGATCTCAGATCTAGATATATTATCCCAAGAGTTGATAGGATAACAACAATGGTCTTTGAAAAGGTCCCATTACATTAAAATATCTCTACTTTCTGAACAGGTATAAACGAAAGAACACAGTGATACAGAGCAAGGATTAAAATTCCACTGTAATTGTAGTAGGAGACTACTACTGAATTCATAGGACTTCAGTGTGAGGACCAAGAAATAGGTCTTAGGCTTAAGATAGGATGTTCTTGGTCTACCAAAAGACTTTATATACTGCTTTTCTGAAATGGGGGCCTTTTAAGTAGTACATAGAAAATAGTTTTGATCACTGTTTCTGTCAACAGTGATTGAAAAGAGTATCATATTTTAGAGGTAAAGAAATATGACAAATATTACATGGTTCACTTAACAAGTCATCAAGAGCAAAAGGAATAAGAGTTTGTGACCCATTGTCTAACTTGAATGTTTTTCTACTTCTATAAGATTACTTTTGACATTTAGTACATGAATATTTTAGTTTTTGTTATTTATTGAATGGGGAACCTTGTACAACATAGAGATGCTCAATAAATGTTTGCTAACTGATTATTATTTCTTGTTCTGGTGTTTTCAGAAATAGTTTTGTACTATAATTTCATTATGAATTCTAATTTGTCTATGCTGAAGTAGAAGACATAGAAGAATACTGCCCCTTTTGCTGGTCCATCTGTTTTTCCTTTGCTCCCTCAACTGTCACTGTTAGATGGTAGTATATTTTTGTTCATCTTCTTTAGCATTTCTTTTGTCACCATTAGTGCTGTACTGGATTGTCCTCCTTTCTAGTAGGAACCTCATTAAGTTTCTGTAGAGCATTTGGATGGCTGGTCCCTCTGTTTTTTTGGGTTATCATAAGCTTCCTATAGTTGTTGAAATAACTTGTCAGGAAAATATACAGGGAATTCAGCGTTGCTCATAATCATATAAGAATGTTAAAAAGAAAGACTTTGAAATTATAAAGGAAAGACTTTGAAATTATCATGTATCCTTACATACAAATTGGTCAGATTTGAAGAATGATTTAAAAACAATTTTTGGGCTAAATTATGAACCCATAAAGGGCAAAGTCCATATGTTAAACTGCTCACAAAACAACTTCTTGAGTTATTTTGACTTATTCAGATTCTGGAAAGTAGAAATTATGGTTAAGTAAGAAAAATAGGATATGTTTCTCTTCAGTACTGCCCTGTCCCTTTTACAACTCTTTTGTGAGGGGGAGCATTACAGATTGCTACTTTTCTTTTTCCTTTTTTTGGTAGTATTGAAGTTTGAACTTAGGACTTCATGCTTGCTAGGTAAGCATTCTACCATTTGAGCCACTCTGCCAGCCAGCCCTTTTTTGTGTTGGGTGTTTTCAAGATAGGGTCTCACAAACTATTTGCCCAGGCTGGCTTTGAACTGAGATCCTCCTGATCTCTGCCTCCCAAGTAGCTGGGATTATAGGTGTGAACTACCAGCACCTGGCTCCAGATTGCTACTTTTCTTCAAAAACCTGTATCCTAAATGTTTTTGGGTATATTTCCCTGGCCCATTCCCACCTGTTTATTTTGTAACCAGGCTATGTCAACTTCTGAATAGGTTTTAGAAGTTACCTGTATATGGATACAGATTAAAAACACCCATATATTTTAAACAATATATTTGTTAATTTTTTTCCTTTCTTGTTGTGATGGGTGGAAGTACATTGTGGAATTTACACAGGTTATTACAGTGTATCAAATATATCATACATGAATTTACCTCCTCAGCCACTCTTCTTCATTCTTCCTTCCCCTGATTCCTGGAGTAGTTTCAACGGGTATCATTTTTGCATTTATTTAACATGAACACACATTTTATTGCACAGTATTCACTCTTGTACCCCCTTTCCCCAGTACCTCTTCCCCCCTTTCCCACTGGTGCCAGCCCTTCTTTCTGGGAAAGACTTGTTTGGCCCTCCTGTTTTCCAATCTTGAAGGAGAAAAAGAGAAAAGATAAAATGAAAAACATGACATTTTAGCTTGAGATAAGGGTAGCTCCAGGAGTTTCCTTGTGATATTTCCATGTATGTATGTATTATAACCTCACTTGGTTTATCTCCTCTAATTTTCTTCATTCTACTGTAGTTCCTTTTGTTTTTCTTTCTCTTTTTATTTTATCATTTTTACATTTACTTACATATGTAAACATTGTTTAAGCCTTCTCCCTCAACCCCTCCATGACCCCCCCCCCCCGCTGCCAGACAGATCCTGTTCCGCCCTCTTCTCTGATTTAGTTGAAGAGAAAACATGAGGTAATAAGAAAGACAGCGTTTTTGCTAGTTTGGAATAAAGATAGCTGTACAGAGAGATTCCTAGCATTGCTTCCATGCACTTGTGTGTTGCAACCCACATTGGTTCATTTCTACCAGACCTCTTTGCTACCTCTTGGTCCTCTTCTCATAGTGGCCTCTGCTATTTTAAGATTACTTTATTCTCTCCTTGACAGGGAGCACATCAACCACATTGAAGTTTTAGGTTTTGTTTCCTTTCCATATTTCTCCCGTGAATGTTCTCCCCTTAGTGTGTGACCTATGTCCAAGAATATTACTGCTTTTGTTTTGGGTCTGTAATCTGCATATGAGGGAGAATATGTGATTTTTGGCCCTCTGAGCCTGGCTAACTTCACTTAAAATCATGTTCTCTAGTTCTATCCATTTACTTGCGAATGATAAAATTTCAATCTTCTTTGTGGCTGAGTAAAATTCCATTATGTATAAATACCACATTTTCTTGATCCATTCATCAGGTGGGGCATCTTGGCTGTTTACATAGCTTGGCTATTGTAAATAGTGCTGTAATAAACATGGGTGTGCAGGTGCTTTTGTTACAACTTGAGTCGCAATCCTTCAGGTATATCCCTAGGAGTGGTATTGCTGGATCATATGGCAGATTTATATTTAGTTTTTTAAGAAGCCTCCATAATGTTTTCCATAGTGGTTGTACTAGCTTACATTCCCACCAGCAGTGTATGTGGGTTCCTTTTCCCTGCATCCTTGCCAGCATTTGTTGTTGTTCGTGTGCTTGATGACAGCCATTCTAACAGGGGTGAGGTGGAATCTTAGTGTGGTTTTGATTTTCATTTCCTTTATGGCCAGGGATGGTGGTCATTTTTTCATGTGTTTTTTGGCTGTTTGGATTTCTTCCTTAGAAAAAGTTCTGTTTAGTTCAGTTGCCCACTTCTTTATTGGTTCATTGATTTTTGGGAAGTTTAGTTTTTTGAGCTCCCTGTATATTCTGGTTGTCAGTCCTTTGTCTGATGTATAGCTAACAAATATTTTCTCCCACTCTGTGGGTGGTCTCTTCAATTTAGAGACCATTTCTTTTGTTGTGCAGAAGCTTTTTAAATTTCATGTAGTCCCATTTGTCCATCCTTTCTCTTAGTTGCTGGGCTGATGGAGTTCTACTGAGGAAGTCTT